TATGGATTGAATTTTGATATGGTTTGGCAGTGCCCCCACCCAAATCTCATCTTGAATTATAGTTCCCATAATTCCCACATGTTGTGGGAGAGTCCTGGTGGGAGACAGTTGAATCATGAGGGTGGCTTCCCCCATATTCTTCTCGCGGTAGTGAATACATCTCACGAGATTTGATGGTTTCATAAGGAGTTTCCCCTTTTGCTTGGTTCTCATTCTGTCTTGCCTGCCACCATGTAAGACGTGCCTTTCGCCCTCTGCCATGATTGTGAGGCCTCCCCGGCCACGTGGAACTGTGAGTCAATCAAACTTCTTTTTCTTTACAAATTACCCAGTCTCAGGTATGTCTTTATCAGCAGCATGGAAACAGTCTAATACAAATTGTCTTCCTCAAAAAGATGTTGAAGTCCTGACCCTTTGTACCTGTTAATGAGACCTATTTGGAAATAAGTTGTTTGTAGGGAATCAAGTTAAGATGAGGTTATTAGGGTGGGCCCTCATCCAATACGACTGTGTTCTTTTTGTGAAAAGGAGAAACATGCATAGAGGGAAGAGAATATGAAGGGACACGGGGTGAAGGCCATGTGAAGACAGAGGATTGGAGGGCTGCCTGTGTGATCCATGGAACACCAGCATTGCCAGCGAACTGCCAGAAGCAGGAGAGAGGCCTGGAAGAGATTCCCCCTGCAGCCTTCAGAGGGGGTCGACTTGCCAACACCCTGATTTCAGATTGCTGGCTTCCAGCACTGTGAGACAACACATTTCTGTTGTTCAAGCCACCTAATGAGTGGTCCCCTCTGTCACAGCTGCTCTGGGAAACTGATCCACTTTCCCCAAATCATATGGAATACAGATATTCCTCTGTGAGTTACTTTGTGTATTTTTGATGGTATTTTTTCTTGTTATTTTCTAAACTTCTGGCTTCCTAGTTTCCCCGGATAGCTGAATTATAATACGTTCTAGACTGGTTTGCGGTTGGAATGAAAAACTTTGTGATAATACTTAATAGTATATTAACAAAAAGCTACCAGCTAAATGTTGCAAACATACTTGTGACATATATATTTTCTGTGAGGATAACCATGGGGGGAGGTGATTGTGTAATTATATGATTTCTACCACTAAATAGAACATTATAAAACAGAGGTTAGTATGTTTACTTGACTCAAAGATCTAAAAAGGCTAAATTATATGTGCTACTCAGAGAGGTTTATGTGAGACTTCCTAAGGGGCTGAGATGAACGGCCCTGTAATAGGCAAGTGTTGAGTCAAATGCCTCTGTAGGGCGACTCAGCCTGCCAGCACCTATGTTTCTCCAGAGAGCATCTGTCTTAGTCCATTCAAGCTGCTGTAGCAGGATGTCTTAGATGGGGTGCCTTAAACAACAGAATTTTATTTTTCACCCAGTCGTGATGGCTTACGCCTGTAATCGCAGCACTTTGGGAGGCCGAGCTTGGTGGATCACTTGAGGCCAGGAGTTTGAGATCAGCCTCGCCGACCTGGTGAAACCTTGTCTCTGCTAAAAATTCAAAAAATTAGCAGAGCATGGTGGCACGTGCCTGTAATCCCAGCTACTTGGGAGGCTGAGGCAGGAGAATCGCTTGAACCCAGGAGGCAAAGGTTGCAGTGAGCCGAGATCACGCCACTGCACTCCAGCCTGGGCGACAGAGCGAGACTGTTTTAAAAAGCAAAAAGAAATTTATTGTTCACCGTTCTGGGGACTGGAGAGTCTTAAGATCCATGGGTCTGGTGATCCCAGGTCTGGCAAAGGCATCCTTCCTGGTTCGCAGATGGCCGTCTTGTCATGGTATCCTCACATGGCCAGGAGAGAAATCATCTCCCTCAGTGCTCTTTTTACAAAGGCACAAATCCCATTCATGTGCTCTCCAACCACATGACCTAAATACCTTCTAAAGGCCCTACCTCCAAATACCATCACATTGGGGATTGAGGCTTCAACCTTTGAATTTTGGGGGGAACGCATAGATTCAGTCCACAGCAGCATTTGTCAGGACCTCTACATGTGCAGTGACAGATTGGGCCAATTTCAGGTAAAACAGCCAAGTGGAAAGAGGAGACTGAACATACATATACTTTATCCACTAAAGCCTTATTTAAACTTATCCTTCAAGAAAATTAACAAATCTTGCTGAAGTTTACAGTTAATGTATTTGCCGAGAATGTTTCTCAGGTTTTTATATTAATTGAAAAGTTATATTAAATTGAAATTAGCCTCTGACTAATGTGCTGCAAAACTTTGCTTGAGGCAAAATCAAGGGCATGAAAGAATCATCTCAGTAAGCCACATAGTAATCTTGGGCTTCTAGCTTTCCTACCTCAACTCACCTATACCCTTCTTCTATCTCTTCATGCCAGACACCTCAACTCCTCCAAAGTGGTGAGGCTCCGGCCCAACCCAGGGACTCCCCAGTTGATTTGAGCTCAGGCGCCCACCTGGGATTGCCAGATAAAATACAAGATGCCCAGTTAGATAACAAATGCTTTCTCTTGCTTTCCTCTTTCTTTCCTTCTCTCTTTCTTTTTTCTTTCTTTCTTTTTCTCTTCCTTCCTTCTCTCCCTTTTTTCATTCTCTCTCTCCCTGCCTCCCTTCCTCCCTTCCTTCCCTCCCTTCTTCCTTCCCTGTTCCCTTTCTTTCTCTTTTTTTTCTCCTTCTCTCCCTCCCTCTCTCTCTCTTTCTCTGTTTCTTTCTTTCATCTTTCGTGACAGAATCTCCCAATGCAGTGGCGCCATGTCAGCTCACTGCACACCCCCCTACTTTTTTCATTTTTAGTAGAAATGTGGTTTCACTATGTTGGCCAGGCTGGTCTCAAACTCCTGACCTCAGGTGATCCACCACTTTGGTCTCCCAAAGTTCTGGGATTACAGGCGTGAGCCACCATGTCCAGCCACCAAATACTTTCCATTAGTAGAAATATACCCCCAATATTGCAAATTTATACAAAAAACACCTTGTTTATCTACCCCAACCTCACTCATCACCTGGCTGCTACAGGTTCATTCTTCAGGTGACTTAAATGTCACTTCCTCAAAGAGATCACTCTGAAGACCAATCTAGAGTAGGTAATTCTATTATTCTTCAGACCACCCTATTCTTTTCCTTCATCTCGCTCACATCTATTTGTAAGTATATTTTCATTTTTGTATTTATCTGATTCAAATCTATCTTCCCTATGAAGGCAGGGATTATGCCTCTTTTGTTTGCTGTTATAATACTCAATGTCTGACACTTATTACATATGCAGTTCACTTTTTTTTTTACATACTTTGTTCACTGATGTACAGCTCATCCATTGTTTGTGGATGAATGAATGAATGAATGAATGAAGAAAGGAAAGTCTTACTGTGAAAAATTTCCTGTTTAACTTTCCAGCTAATGTATTTGCTGGGATGGCTAGTGAGTTAAACAGATTTACAGAGAAAAATGGAATTCCTTAGGAAGTTAGTGAAATTTTCACAGAATACGTTGAGAGCAGTGTTGTAGTGCTTTAGATCATGCAGTATATATGTAATCCTGTGTTTATAAGAATTATATATTAATCATAGTTTTGTCTAATATAAATAATTTTGCTAATGTATCTGCTATTTGGTTCTGGGTAGAATTCGGAATGGAAAGTTTATTAATTAGCTCCAATTCAGTTGTTAAAAATGGTCAAATTCAAACAACCGGCATTTCTATCCATTGACTGAAGAACGAGCTACAAATAATTTATCCCATATAAACCCACCTAGTACATGATACAATATCTTATCATAACATGCAGTGTTTTTTTAAAAAGATAGTGTAATATTTTATAAAGAATGCTAGGCAGGGTGCTATGGCTCATGCCTGGAATCCAATCACTTTGGGAAGCCAAGAAGGGGAAATCGCTTGAGCTCAGGAAGTTCAGTACCAGCTGGGGCAGTATAGGGAGCTCTCATCTCCACAAAAACTTAAAAATTAGCTGGGCATGGTGTTGCACAGCTGTAGTTCCAGCTACTTGGGAGGCTGAGGTGCAAGGATTGCTTGAACCCAGAAAGTTGAGGCTGCAGTGAACTGGGGTCATACCATTGCACTCCAGCCTGGGCAACAGGTCTCAAAAACACCCAAAAAGAATGCTAGTTCTCAGCTGTAAAGAACTAAGCAACCAAAATGGCTTATACTTTTAGAGAAAATAATAACTTGAGAATCATATATATATAATATATATATATAAACAGAATATATTTTCATATTGCTTATAGCTCTAGCAATATGAGTAGTTCCTGTTTGAGAATCCAGGATCAAATTCTGACTGCTTTGTGGGGCAGGGAGATGCTCTTTTTAAGTGATCCATCACTAAATGTTGGATCACAGTTGTTGCTCTAAGAACAATTTCAGAACAGTCAGATATGAAGTAAAGAGAATAATTGAACCACAGTTTAGATGAGATATTGGCATGAGTTTACCAGAGGATAGTTCACTTTCCCCTCTTTTGAGACTAGAGTTATAACCCAGATATTATTCAACAGTCGTGATCATATACACTTTCCCCTTTTAAAATAATGTCAAAACCAACTGTCAAATACATAATACTCTCTCATCTAGTCCATTTTTACAGACTAATGACCTTGTCATTGATCCTACTCTATTTTGTAGCAGTTAACTAAAACTGCAAGCTTATACAATGAAAGGTAGAAATGTATGTATCTAAAAGATCTCAAAACATGTTTACTTCAATTCTCATTTTTTAGCGTTTTCAGCCTTTATTTAATCTAATACTTTAAGGGGATAGTAGTAAGGAAAAATTGTTGACACATGTCATATAATAATTGCTGAAGTTATTTGTTTCCTATTCTCTATAGTTTGCATTTATATATATGTAACAGAAGATGGTACTTATGCTTGGCAGTAGGTACAGCAACATATACTATTAAGATTAGATTATGTTCAGGCCACAATCTGCAGTTTATATGCAAAATCCCAACCTGTTCTTTTATCTTCCATTGTTATGCTTTAAATGTGGCACAAATGCAATATTTTTCCAAATATTCATACAAAAAGCAAATCACAGTAAAATGTGGTGATAGGATGGCTTTTATTCACTGGCAATCTGATTCAAAATTCCAAAACAAACTCGAAAAAATTGCATCTACTTACCTAGCAAAAGTTGTCCAATTTCTTGTATATTGCTTATTTCCCATTTTATGAAAACAGTATTGGAGTCTTTAGGGTCTCCTAGCTAATCGTAAAGTGGTCTCTGGACAGAAAAAAATTCAACCGCAAATAAAGGCAAAAAATCTTCAAGACAACATGTTCATTTTCACATATTTAAAGTAGACAGTTTGGCTTTTTATAAAATAACCTCAAAGCAAATTATCATACCTTGTGAGGTGTGCTGGAATGCATGGCAGTGGTCTGCCCCTCCCAAACACACTGACAGGTGGCCTGGCATCTCAGGAACGCTGACAAGGCTTGGCCTGACAGTGTCTTTGTCATGACAATAAGCCACATTTTGCACAAGTTCTGAGTAGCAGAGGACAAATGGGAGCCTTCCTTCAGCAACTGTGGGCAAACCAAAAGACATGTCCTTTGAACTTTGCTTTGTAATTTTTAACATCCATTTGTTTTTGTTTTTGTATGTTCAAGAATAAAATTGTATAAAATACCTGATAGAGGTTGTCTAAGGAAGTTGAGTACCATCGACTTAAATGTTTTTTTTTAATCAATAGCTGAGATGTCTGCCTATGTAAGATGTAAGAAACTCAGAGGAAGTGTGAGTGTGGGTATTTGTGTGTGAGAGAGAGAGTGAAAGGAGAGAGAAAGAGAGAGAGAGATCAACATTCTATATGTGTTCATCTACATTTAGCAGATAAGTAATTGGAGATAATTCTTGAATCTCTTGGGGAGGATGCATTATTTTTCTATGCAAATTATAAAATAAATTTAATGTGACTGGTGCTATTGTTTTTGCTGAAGTGAAGTGACTGCAACATGAATAGATGCTGACTTCTCGTTTTTAGCTTAATATTTTTATTAGCAATACATTCACACAGTTCAAAAACAAGCAATATATGATGTATAATAACATCTTGTTTCTGTTTCTCTTCACTCTATTCCCAACCCCTCTTCCATGCCTCTTTTATTTTTTTCAGAGTTTTGAAGGTTTTCTTTATATTTGAAAAATATCCTATCAGCACTTTAGAAAATACACATGGGCGAAAAGAAATTTGAAAGAAATTGTTAGTAATGCAAAGTGAATTTTGTGATTCTCAACTTATTTGACTAGCTATAGTATTTTTACTCAGAACTTAGGATTCTTGATTAAAATATTTAAAATTATGTCTGTGTGAACTTAAAAGAATTATTTTTCAAGGTGAAATGAAATGAATAAAGTTAGGTGCGGGTGTTGAACAATGAGAACACATGGACACAGGGAGGGGAGCACTACACACTGGGGTCTGTTGAGGGGAATAGGGGAGGGACAGCGCGGGGTGGGGAGTTGGGGAGAGATAGCATGGGGAAAAATGCCAGATATAGGTGAAGGGGAGGAAGGCAGCAAATCACACTGCCACGTGTGTACCTATGCAACTATCTTACATGTTCTTCACATGTACCCCAAAACCTAAAATGCGATTAAAAAAAAAAGTTAGGTGGTTTTGTTTGGAAAGTTTTGAAGTGGGATTTCCTCACTAGGTGGCGCTCCGGTGCCTGAAGGTCATAAAGCGAGTTGCCCCGCCATCTGCAGGTGCACAGTTCACCAATTAGCATGCAGCTCCTGTGGAGACCTCCAGCATCACACAGAGAGCAAGTCCTCCATATTTTCTCCTCTCTAAAGAATGGTTGTTTCACTCATATTTCTGGTCTGTGCTATATATGCCCTTCCAAGGGGAGGGAAATTACTGCAGTTACCTCTTTAGCCTGGAAGTTATGTTATGCAAGGTATCCAGGCAAGAAAGGGCAACCGTTATTTTGACGTGGGAAAAAAATCTTGGGAAAATTGAACTTTTTAAATAAAGAAGTTATTGATAGCACATGAGTGATTTAGAAGATGCCCTTATCCTTTCTCTGAATACCTTAGTGTCCATCCAATAGCAAAAAGCTTTTAAACATGCCTTGGTGGTATTATTATCTTTCTTAGGCAATAACGTGGCCTCTCACCTGATTCTCACAACCCTCACGTGCCAAGTAGACCATTACAGGGGTGCATTAAATAATAATCAACACAGGTGTGTCTTTCCATTTGGCCACTCAGCCCTGTCAAAAAGTCAAGAAGATACAAAATTTTAAACCAAACTAGAGGAAGGTTAGAAATGCACTAGTTAATTTTTACTTGGTCTGTTTGATCTTGCAACACTTCATTTTTCATGCATCAGTTGTGGGTGAGACATTTATTGCACACCTGCTCTGTGCCTAGCACTAAGCTGGTTGACATGGATGTAGTGATGCATTAGGCTAAATTTTTGTTTCAAGCCTGATGGAAAAATGAACTTCCATTCCGAATTCTCTTAGTCTAACTTCCATCCTTATTAAAGACATTACTCCAGCTCAACTCCATATGTTTTTAAATACCATGCTTCTCCATTTTCTTTCATCTACATCAATATTTTCTTCAACCTTGACACTTTTAGGACAACTTTGAACTCAGTTACCTTCTTCAGTAAAAGACTATACTATATTAATAATTTGTAACTCATAAGTGTGTATATGTCAGCTTAACCTGAAGACAACTTCAAGTCATGTGAATACGAGTTCACTGGCTCCAAATGAATTTGAGTTTTTGAAAATTATGTCTTCTGGGTGTCTTGCACACATAGCATGACCTCAGATCTCATTGACTGAAATACTGTTTTAATGTTTATTGGGAAAAACAAAGAAAAGCCTGTTGCAGAGGACTCTTTCGGAAAGATGATATAAGCAGGTTGGAGAGCATTAGCTAGTTCTTGGGGACTCTCAGATGACAGCCATGCAGTAGGGACATTGATAACATGAGAAGACCTCTAGCTGGTGCCCAGGGGCGTGGCAATGTAGATGCGATTGTTTGTACCTCTGGCTTCCAGAGACAATGCTAACGCACATGTGGCCCAGATTCCTGTTTCCCAGTGGAAGAAAAATATGTTTTAAGACCAAAAAGAATGAAAAGAAAAGGAAAAAAATTCCAGTATCTTCAACCACTGGATGTTGCTTTTCTAATGAAGTCTTTTTCCTGATGGTTCTTCCCTGGTAAGTGGGAGAAAAGAGGGGAAACAGGCATTATGTATGCAAATGACTCTAAGGAAGATACTTACTCCCATGATCAGAGCACATGAGATTATGAGTGCCTGATCTCAGGAAGCCACAGGGACCAGGAGAGCACCTAACTCCTGCAGCATCTTACAGATGCAGGGAGTGCAGTATAAGGAGCAAGCCTTTGAAGTGAAATGCACTCTTGGCTAGCATAGAGCAGGGAAGACAGTAGCTGGTTTGGTTTTGTTCTTAAGCCACTGCATCCTCTTCAATTCTAGGTACCTATGTCTAATCAGAACCCAAAGGCAAAAGAGAATCAAGACAGCCGTCTGATGTTTCTTCTCCATCCTGGTGTTGTGTGCCTTACTCCAATGTGGGTCTAGTAAAATGCAAAGAGGGCAGAGCTACACATTTTGGAACACTTAAACAGAAAGGATAACTTATTAACACAATCGTGCCCACTTTCCCTTTAACCTCTCTACTATTCTACAGCTGTGCACAAGGGCTTTCTCCATTGTATTCCATAGTCTTCATGAGTATAGAGTAGTGCATTCTTTCCCTACAAATGATTTCCCTCCGCACTTTTCCTTCTTTAATTCTATTTCTTTGGGATTGGCCCAATTCAACTGAGTGTGCATTCACCAAATAAATTCCCTTTATAATATAGCATTCCAATTGTCCAAAATAGAAAGAATCACAATGGACACATTACAGCAGTTATTTTCTTTGGCTATCAAACTCCAAACATTATATAACCAGATCATATCATAATTGTAATTTGTTGGGATGGCTGTCGGGGTGTGGTAGTGGTGATTATGATGAGACGGAGATATAAAGATGTATCTGATCTCAAGCCGCATACAGTTTAGTAGGCAGAAAACGGAAGTGCTTCAAAAACGAAATAATGACAGACTGGCAAAGAACACTGAGTATTCTGGGAGCTCCAAGGAAGACACAGTTGCCCAGGGAAAAAGCCTCACAAAAGGAAGAAGGACTTGACATGGGCCTCAAAGAATAAACACAAATCTCAGGATACCTGGAGAAACCATTGCACGTGGGTGAATGGTGTGGCTAGACTGGTTTTAGTGGAATCTACAAAAACTGTGGGGAAATAGTGGGCAGTAAGCTAGAAATGTGGATTGACGCCAGATAGTGGAAGGAAACTAAGGCGCTTGGACTTTATCCTGGTGGTAATGAAGAGATAATGAAGATTTTTAATTAAGGGTTTGGCATGATTAAATGGTGTTTTAGGGAGATTACTGTGGCAGCAGTGAATTGGAGGGGGAGAAACAAGTAAGCGATTAGTTAGGATGCTATTATAATCATCCAGGCTTGAAGCGGCAGGGGTCTGGAGGCAATGGGAATAGAAAGGAAGGGTGGGGTGTGAGAGATAGTGCAAGGGAATGCCCAGCAAGCCTTGGGGACTCATGGCTATGCAGGACAAAAGAAAAGAAGGAAGCGGAGAGAGCTGGTGCAGTAAACAGTGAGGGGAATCAGGAGGAGGCCAGTTGTGGGGAAAGGAAAAGATTGGAGCTGAGAGCTAGCTGGACTTTGGGATGACTACTAGACATCCAAGTTCAAACGTCCAGCAGGTAGGTAGAGATGCAAGACCAAGGCTTTGGAGAACGGCCAGGCACGAGACCTAGACCTCTCTCTTCTCTAAGTCAATCTGACTTCTTTCCAGAGAAAGAATTGAAATTCAGTGGCTAAGCAATTAGAATACAATGTGTGTATTTTAGAATATGTCCTTACATATCAACAGGAAGGAAGAATCCAGGTCATTCTTTGAATATTTTAAACTTCTGGAGAATGGCTTTTTAATGAATCACCCAAATATTTCAAGTGAACGTTTTTTAAAGCCAAATTTCCCAGATAATATTCCCAAGTATTTAAATTTCTTCCTTAAGGGAGGCTCAGCCTTAGTGTCTAATGGAGTTCAATTAGACAGTCATTTCCATGTTGAATATGGTGGAGATGGTGCTATCTCTACAGAGCTCTGTGACTGCTGTGTGACTCCAGATGAATGGTACAAGAGCCCTCATAATCCTCGTAGGCCCTCTGCCTAATTCCCTCATGCAAATTAAAGAGAAGAGAGGTTTCCAGATTTCATTTATCAGGAAAGTGCATCCTTCTAGCAGAAGGAACCAGCAAGAAGAGGCCCACATGTCTTTAATGTGTGCTGCATAACCGGTGGCACACGGCCACTTGGAAGCCCACCAGACTAAATGCCAGCTGGCACTTTCCTTCAAACAGTGGAACGTGATGGATCAAAATGTGATCCGGGTGAAAATAAAACAGCTTTGGACTTAAATAATAAATTAATAAAACAGAAAGTACCCTTGGGTGTGCAGATTCAGCTGCCAAAAACCTTCCCACATGACTCAGATCTTAGTGGACATTGTTTGAATTCTGCTATGAAATTCAAGAAACCAAACAAGTTGGTGAAATGAGCTAGTATCTGAACATCAAGGGAAAAACTTTTTTTTTAAACCTGAAGACAAAAATGCTGGTAAATGGCATGCCTCCAAACCCAGAAGAAAGATTATTCCTCTTAATTCACATTTGCATTTCAGTAGTGCTTGCACTTATTTGAGACTTACAAGTGGGTATTTGGAACTCCACGGTGTTTTAAATGTGGAGGTTGTCTATGAAGATAGGAGCTCCATGGTGCTTTCAATGTGGGGGTCTCAAGAGCAAGATCCACGTCTGCCAGGGAAATTGTAACCACCATGTCTGATTATCACCTGGCCACAAGTGTCTTAAAATTCTGCTCATTTAGAAGTAATTGATTTCATCAGCAGAGTTCATAGCTGTCTTCCAGAGTTAAGCTCCACAGGCTACTCCAGGACACTTTGTCAGCACCTTGAACTATTTCTACTTGGATTGTGGGAGGTAATGTCAGTTTCCCTCCTACAGAAGAGAGCTTCTAACTGAAGCTGGAGCTCAACTCCCCATGATCCCCCTGGGAAACTTGGAAAATATCGATATCCCCTGGGCACCTCAGAAGAATCTGCCTATCTTCTCACCCCTACTCCTTCCTTACGCCCCACTCCTTCCTTACCAAGAAGCATGTGGATTGAGCAAATATTCAGATTTTTCAATCCTATGCATTAAACTCAAACAATGAACAAAGAATCTCACTAGAACTTCTACTTTATTTGTAATCAAAACTTGTAGTTGAGTCATCAAGAAGTTCACCAAACAACCCAGACAGACTGGATCAAGCTGGGGAGGCGCTCCTTCCTTCTCCACCCTTCATAAGATAATTAGTTATCAGGAGAGTCTTTTTTTGAATACAGAGTGATGAGATTACATAACTCTTAAGGGCCCTTCCTACCATGCGATCCTGTCTTTTGATTACGGTGAAGACATTTCCACATTGTGCTCTGTTCATGAATCTGCCACTCAACTAAAACACTGCCTCTGACCTCCCCCAGTGATACCCTCAACACTTGATTTTGGGAAGCCCCTACCATAAATAACTGCTGGATGCTCCCAGGCTCAAAAATAAGGAGGAACACGTGTATGAGCATGTGCACGTGCACACACACACACACACACACACACTCTCAAGTTTTAACTGAGTTGAACCCAAATTTTCTGATGTACTAAGATTTAACTGTCTCCATATTTAAATAATAATGTTTTAATTTTGGTATTAAAGTACTTACACCTGCATATATTACAGCTTGCCAATAACCATTTCTAAGCAACGCAGAAGAAAGAAGACAGGTGCGGTGGCTCACGCCTGTAATCCCAGCACTTTGGGAGGCTGAGGTGGGCAGATCACTGGAGGGCAGGAGTTCGAGACCAGCCTGACCAACATGGTGAAACCCCGTCTCCACCAGAAATACAAAAATCAGCTGGGCGTGGTGGCGGGCACCTGTAATCCCAGATACTTGGGAGGCTAAAGCAGGAGAATCTCTTGAAGCTGGGAGACAGAGGTTGCTGTGAGCTGAGATCTCACCACTGCACTCCAGTCTGAGCAACAAAGTAAGACAGACTCAAAAAAAAAAAAAAAAAAGAAAGAAAGAAGACATTATGTCAAGAAATCTAATCTTGGTCAATTCGTGGCAACCAAAGTTGATATTTTGGCCTTAGTTTTCTTCCAGCAAAGAAAGACAAAGGTCAAAAAATAATCTTTCTGCAGTCATTCTTGGTTGAAAGCACCTTCTGAATTTTCTCTTATTAATATGTTGCCCTTTATTATGTGTCAGAAGTACAAATGGTGGAGGGCTGGAATGTGATCTTGATGTACGACTGTGCTGCTCTTTCTACTAACTGCTGAATTATTATCATTTTACAAAAATTACATCTGAAAGAGAGGAATGTGTGTTTAAGTTGCATGGTTTCCAATGAATAACCTTTGTTAAAGTGATTGGTATTTCTCCAAGCAACGAGCTTGAAAATACTCATTTCCGAAGATCTGTAATCCTTTCATTCTACCTCTGCTGTTGTCACACGCTGAACAGAAAACACAAGGAGAAAGTCAACAATACATGGGAAGCATTCTGCTGTTCTAGGTTTCAGGACAGAAGGGGCTGCTGGGGAAAGGAAAACAAAAACAACAACCCACCATCCAACAAGTGACTCTGGGGAAAACAGTGGAGGATGGGGTGAGATGAATTTGCTGTTGAACACTGAAATTAACACAAGTTCCTTAGTGGTGCCTCTATACGTTGTCGGGGGGGGCGTGTATGTGTTTGAGACAGAGTCTTGCTCTGTTGCCCGGGCTGGCATGCAGTGGTGCAAGCTCAGCTCACTGCAGCCTCCACCTCCTGGGCTCAAGCAATTCTCCTGCCTCGGCCTCCCTAGTAACTGTAATTACAGGCGTGTTCCACCACGCCTGGCTAATTTTTGTATTTCTGGTAGAGATGGAGTTTCACCATGTTGGCCAGGCTGGTCTTGAACTCCTGGCTTCAAGTGATCTGCCCACCTCAGCCTCCCAAAGTGCTGGAATTACAGGTGTGAGCCACTACCCCTGGCTGCCTCTATACATTAATTGCATGATTGCCGCCCCTTAGGCACATTTAACTTCAGGAAGTGACTTGGGCGCTGGGAAGAATAGGCCACAATATTTCATCCAAAGCAGCAAAACAAATTACCTCAGACTCAGGGTCTCTGAGACCGTATTTTAGAGCCTGTGCTGGTTGGAGGGGAAGGAAATTGCTTTCTCAGGGGACGATGGTGGCAGGGAGTGGCTGGCTGGCTCCTCACCCGTTCACACTCACCTCGTGAGGGCACCTTAGAAAGGCCAAGCTGGCAGTCCCTGGCATGCCCTACTTGCAACTGAAGGTGACTTTATGCCAGTACTGTGAGGTAGATTTTCTTTTGTTTTGTTTTTGGTCAGACCAAAGGATGCCTTTAATGTCTGCTCAGAATATTTGTATTCACACAGGATTTGTATTTGTGAATTCAAATATTTGTTTAGATTACAAAATCTAAATACACAATTAATACAAAATCCTGTATGAACACAAATATTTATTTAGATTACAAAATCTTTATTTATTTAGATTACAGAAATTACAAAATAAACTATAAATTTTTAAAGTCTGACAAATTCAGCTGGGCACTGTGGCTCATGCCTGTAATCCCAGCATGTTGGGAGGCCAGGGTGGGCAGATCACTGGAGTCCGGGAGTTCAAAACCAGCCTAACCAACATGGTGAAACCCCGTCTCTGCCAAAAACTACAAAACATAACTAGGTGTGGTGGCATGCACCTGTAGTCCCAGCTACTTAGGAGGAGGCTGAGGTGAGAGAATCACTTGAACCCAGGAGGTGGTGGTTGCAGTGAGCCGAGATCACGCCACTGCACTCCAGCCTGGGCAACAGAGTTAGTCCCTGTCTCAAAAAAACAAAAAAAGTGATAAAATGTCTGACAAATTCTACATACAACAAAATACAGAAAAACAGGCTAAGTAAGGTAGTTCACGCCTGTAATCCCAGCACTTTGGGAGGCCAAAGTGGATCACCTGAGCCCAGGAATTCAAGACCAGTCTGGGCAACATAGCAAGATCCTGTCTCTACAAAAAAACCCTAAAAATTAGTGGGACATGGGAACACATACGTGCGATCCCAGCTTCTCTGGGGGCTAAGATGAAAAGCTGCTTGAACCCAGGAGTTCAAGGCTGCGGTGAACCATGACATGCCACTGTGCTCCAGCCTGGATGTCAGAGCAAGACCCTGTTTAGGAAAAACAAAGAAACAAATAGAAAAATAATAATATTTACATTAATTAACTGCCAGATACACCATAATAATTTTTTCTATTTTTTGTCTGTATTTTTTATCATTCTTTTTTGATGATGACTTTGTCATATTTTCTATTAAAAAAAAACAAAGATAATTTTATCTTGCCCATAGCATGAATGCTAGAAATTTGCAATTTTTTATCGACTGTTTAGAAAAGTTTGTTTCAGCTTCACAATTTGATGTTCAGAATAATAGATATATTTGGGAAACTCTCTACCAAGTTTTTTCTTTTTCAACAGAAAAGCTCTAAGAATGCAAGGTATTTTAAATTTCTTTAAGTAATGACTAGTCTTAAATACTTGAGTTGATTGATTCTATTAGATCTGAATTGATTAAATAGTTCTTGATGCCCTCATTACAGGGATGGCATGTATAAAGCATGATTTTAGATAAAGTAATATTTATTGTTTGTAGAACACATTAACGCCCCACAAATACAGAAATTCTATCATATCCTATTTTTGTTTGATTCCTATAATAAACGATGGTAAGTTTAATTAATTAATGTTTTGAGACAGGGTCTCATCTGTCACCCAGGCAGAGTGCAGTGGTACAATCATGGCTTGCTACTGCCTCGACCTCCCAGGCAAAGGCGATCCTCTCACCTCAGCCTCCTGAGTAGCTGGGACTACAGGTGTATGCCACCACACCCAGCTGTTCATTTAATTTTTTGGTAGAGACAAGGTCTCACTATGTTGCCCAGGCTGATCTCAAACTCCTGAACTCAAATGATCCTGCCACCTTGGCCTCCCAAAGTGCTGGGATTACAGGTGTGAGCCACCCTGCCCACCAATAATGTTAAATTTAAAATCAATATGTTTGTTGCATTATCAAGCTAAGAACTTACATTCAGAAAGTAAGAACTGACTTCTCCCTAACCACTTTGTGCCTAGGTGAAAAAAATTTCCAGAGACTAGCTTCTGGTTTCTCATTCTAAAGTTGTTTCACAAAGTTCTTATGGCCTCATACTTTTATCTAATGACTCAAGTCAAGTAAGACATGGGAGAATTCCTAGGAGCCATTTCTACTCGGATGGGTGACATTAATTATACCAAACTTTAAACCCATGTGCAAATATATTCTACTAACGGCAGACTCAATGTATCCCCCAACTTCTATTTAGCTGGATCCTACATATGCCCTCAGTCATTCCAAGGCTGTCTGACACAAGGGAAGTGTGACAGAAGGAAAGAGACTCTCATCTTAACCAATTATGGTTAAAATATCTCACTTTTATCTATTTTACACAAAAAAACAAAAGTTCATGTGAGCCCACTGCCAGCCACTCAGGAACTTGGAAGAGTTCTGTGCATGAGAGGGGCCCTGGCGTTCACTGGCCTTAGAGGGGCTCCAATTGTGGTTGTGTAGGCTGTGCCCCAAGTAACTCCTAGAGGCACCTTCTACATGATGCATGACTTGCATAGACATTGGCGGTAGCCCCATGTATAACTTACATAGCTGTTGGTCACAGTCCCATAAGCAGAGAAATGGGGCATCAGCTGGAGGATGTGAGGCCAACGGCAAGTTTTATATTAGAATGACATTAAACATATTTGACAACTTGCAAGGCATGAGTCTTGACAAATCAAAATGGAAACTGGAGTCTTAGGCCATATCGATGTGAACTCTTTGACTCCTGGGCATGGTTTTGGAGATGTGAAACAGTGGAGAGTGTTCCAATACATTTGGAAATGAAACGATAGAAAGGAGAAACTGGTGATGATATAGCGGAGGGAAAAATGTTAAGTCAAAGTCTTTTGGAAGGCAAGAAGGCAGGGGATCCAGGGGATAGGTGAAGAGGTTGGCCTTAAATGATCACAAGACACTCCCTCTTTGCAACAGAAGTAAATGTGAAACAGGGGCTTGCTCTCTCCAGGGGAAGATCCTGCCTCCATGGGCAGCTTACCTGGGGATTATCCAAAGCAGCAAACCAGGCAGCTATGACATATAGACTCCTTGTTTTGTAATCTAACAGCTAGTACAAGGTAATATATTTGAAATGACTGATTGTTTCATTGTTTCATTGGTGTGACGGTTTTTATTACTTTTTTTTTTTGAGACAGAGTCTCGTTCTGTCACCAGGCTGGAGTGCAGTGGCATGGTCTTGGCTCACTGCAACCTCTGCCTCTCAGGTTCAAGTGATTCTCCTGCCTCAGCCTCCTGAGTAGCTGGGATTACAGGTGTGCGTCACCATGCCCAGCTAATTTTTGTATTTTTTTTTAGTAGAGATGAGGTTTCACCATGTTGGCCAGGATGGTTTCGATCTCTTGACCTCAGGTGATCCACCCGCCTGGGCCTCCCAAAGTGCTGGGGTTACAAGCATGAGCCACTGCACTGGGCCTTTAAATATATATATTTCATACATGACTAGAGTTCACGGCAGCCACAGGTGGAATGTCAAGTACTGCTTGTTTGCAGGAGTATAGAAATTGAACTCTTCCCCACTACCACCTGGAGGCTCAACTGGAGAGGCTAAACCAGTTAGGCTCAACCAAACTCTCTGAACTATGATAAAAATCAAAGAAAGGAAGAGTCTTCTTTGCTATCCTATCATATCAGGGTTTCTCAAGCTCGTGCTATGGACATTTCGGGCCAGATAGTTTTGGGTTTTTTTTTTGTTTTTGTTTTTTTCTTTGTTTTTGGTTGGGATCCGAATTGTGCATTGCAGGATGTCTAGCAGCCTCCTGTCTTGTACCCACTACATCGCAGGAGACAACCCAAAGCGCCTCCAGGCAATGCCAAATGTTCCCCTGGGGACCAAAATTGTCTCAGTTGAGAACCACTGTGATACACTAAGTGTGTGTGTTAGAGTCGATCTTTTTTTGCCATGAATTTGTGGTCCAGGATTATTTGCATTTATCCCAGGAGATGTTTTGGTTTTTGCTCGTTGACTAAGGCTTGAGTTTTATGTCTAGGATAAGTTATGCAGGGATGAAGATGTCATGACATCTCCCCACCCTCCTTGTACCCCACTTCTAACGAAGATCCTATCCCTGCAGCCAGAGACCTCAGAACACTGAAACACTCAACTCTTGGAAGACAATACTCTGCAGGACCCATTATGTTCATGGAACCCTGAAGAGTGAGGGTTGAGTGTGAAAGCTCTTAACTAATGGTTTGTTAGAACTGAGTTGTAAAAGTTGAAGTAATCAGTTTTTATTTTACATGACAAACGCAGGTATTATTTTAGGCAGAGACTATATTTAACAAACTTGTCACTTCAAGAAGTGGTGCAAGTTGAAAATAAAATTAATTGTAAGAATTGTTTATGGATAGAAGTGATGGTTCATACCTGCAATCCCAGTACGTAGGGAAGCCAAGAGAGAGGATTGCTTGAGGCCAAGAGTTTGAGACCAGCCTAGGCAACAGAGCAAGACCCCATCACTACAAAAAAAATGCAAAAATTAACTGGGTGTCTTGGTGCATGTCTTGTAGTTCCAGCGACTGGGGAGGCTGAAGTCAGAGGATTGCTTGAGCCCAGAAGTTTGAGGCTACAGTGAGCTATGATTACACCAATGCACTCCAGCCTGGATGACAGAGCTGGACCTGTCTCTTGAGGAAAAAAAGAAAAAGAATTGTTTAACAAATGTATAACTAATTGTAAGACAAAAAGGGTGATATAAACATTTGGGAGCAGTACCTCTAAACTTTCTAACATATAAGAGGCAACTACATGAAACTCAGACACCACAGTGAGATATCACTTCAAACTCACTAAGATGGAAGAACTAGCTAGAATCAAAGAAACTGAAAACAACAAGTGTTGGCAAGGATGTGAATAAATGGGAACCTTCACACATTACTGGTAGAAATGTATGATGGTATAGCCACTGTGGAAAACAGTTTGGCAGTTCTTTAAAAGGTGAGACATAGAATTACCATATGACCCAGCAATTCCACTCCTAGGTATATACTGTAACCAAGATCATTGAAAACATATGTCCACACCAAAACTTGTACGCAAGTGTTGACAGACGTGTTATTCACAATAGCTAAAAAATAGAATCACTGAAATGTCCATTAATTCTGATGAATAAAAAACAAAATGTGGTATATCCATACAATGGATTATTATCCAGGTATGGAAAGGAATACATACTACAACAGGGTTGAACCCTGAAAGCCTTATGCTAAGTGAAATTAACCAGACACAAAAGGCTATATTTTGTATTATTCCATTTATATGAAATGTACAAAATAGGCAAATCCATAGAAACATAGAAACAGAAAGTAGATTAGTGGTTGCAGGTGCTGGGGGCAAGGGATAGAATTAAGACTGGCTGCTAATAGGTACAGGGTTTTTTTGAGGTGATGGAAACGTTCTGTAATTAGATAATGGTAATGGTAATGGTAATGGTAATGGTAATGGTTGTGCTATTTCATGATTATACTAAAAATCCACGTTTAATAATCCCCTAAAATGAATTGTATACTTTAAAATGGTGACTTTTATGCTATGTGAATTATATCTCTTTTTTTTTTTTATAGAGGCAACATCAGAATCCTAGAATTGAAAGAGTCCCCTGAGAATCATGTGGTCCAAACTTCAAGTCTGGTAGCTGAGAAATTTTAAGGATATTGTCCAAGAAATTATTTTTATTTATTTATTTTTTTTGAGACGGAGTTTTGCTCTTGTTACCCAGGCTGGAGTGCAATGGCGCGATCTCAGCTCACTGCAACCTCCGCCACCTGGGTTCAAGCAATTCTCCTGCCTCAGCCTCCCGAGTAGATGGGACTACAGGCGCACGCCACCATGCCCAGCTAATTTTTGTATTTTTAGTAGAGACGGTGTTTCACCTCGTTGACCAGGATGGTCTCGATCTCTTGACCTCGTGATCCACCTGCCTTGGCCTCCCAAAGTGCTGGGATTATAGGCATGAGCCACCGTGCCGGGCCAAATTAACTTTAAAAATAAATTTGAAGCA